TTTTTAGACTTCCCGCGAACGTGTGATTCGCAGGAAGCAGGGGAGGGGGAAGAGCATGGGGGCGGAGCGTTCAGGGGAGGGGAGGGAGGGAAGTGAGCTAGGGAAGGGGTGGACAGCTGCGGGGCCCGTTTAGGCACCGCTTTTCAAAAATGTGATGAGGGGAAGTGGCTGCTTCCCCTGCACCCCACTAGCTATGCTAGTTCTTACCTCTGGAGGAACCTTGCTACAAACTGAAGCTCTGAACAATGGACTGAATGACCCATCCAAGTTGCGGATTTACTCCAGAGACTTGACTTAAGCCAGCAGTTTATTCCATCACTGCTACAAGCCTGAGCCAAGAACTTTGCCATTACTGTATGTAATGGATTCCTTTAACCAATTTTAACTCTCACCTTTTTTTCTTTTTATAAATAAACCTTTAGATTTTAGTTAATAAGAATTGGCTGTAGCGTATATTTGGGTAAGATCTGAAACATTCATTAACCTGGAGGTAATGTGTCCAATCTTTTGGGATTGGTAGAACCTTTTATTTTATATAATGAAATAAGATTTACAGAAATTGTCATCATATTCGACATGGGTATCTGGACAGAGGCCTGAGGCTGGTTCACTTTAAGGGAACTGTGTTTGGACTTCTGAGTAACCAGTAAGGTAACAAAGAAGCTGTTTTATGCTGGCTTGGTAAATCTAAGTATTGGAATATCCCCCAGCTTTTGAGGGTTTGGCTGCCCCATTCTTTGCAGTTCACCCTAATTGGGTGACCACAGCTGGCTCCCCATTAGGACCCTGGTCACAGGTGGGATCATGCACGTATGTGATGACGAGCAGTGGCTACAGAACTTTCGGATGAGGAAAGCCACATTCATGGGACTGTGTGATGAGCTCGCCCCAGCCCTGTGGTGCAAGGACACGAGAATGAGAGCTGCCCTGTCATTGGAGAAGCGCATGGTGATTCCACTGTGGAAGCTGGCTACTACAGACAGGGCCGGCTTTAGGAAGTGCGGGGCCCGATTCGATGGGGCCCCGGCAGGGATGACTCACCCGGCAGCGCTCCAGGTCTTTCATGGCATTGAAGGACCCGCTCCCGAAGACCTGGTAGGGAACCGCCTGGTGAGTACACCCCCCCCTCCAACCCCACCCATGTCCTGCCCCCGATTGCCCCCCTCGGAAACCGCAACCCATCAACCCCCCCCCGCTCCTTGTCCCCTGACCACTCCTTCCCAAGTCCCCCCACCCTAACTGCCCCCCAGGACCTCACCCCCTACCCAATTCGCCCTGCTCCCTGTCCCCTGACTGCCCTGACCCCATCCACCACCACCCCGACAGACCCCCAGAACTCCCACGCCTACCCTTCCCCATCCCCTGACCGCCCCCCCAGAACCTCTGCCCGATCCAACCCCCCCCCACCCGCTCCCTGTCCCTGCCTTATCCAACCTCCCCCCCACCCCGGTCTCTTACCTTGCTGCTTACCCCCGCCGGAGCCAGGGCCGCTGCGCCGCCCGGGGCCGGGGCCGGAGCCGCCGCGCTGCCCGGCCAGAGTTGGGGCCAGGGCCAGGGCGGGGCCGGGCCGGAGGGAGCCGCCGGACCGGGGTCGCTCGGCCGGAGCCAGACTGGGCCGTGCCGCGCTGCGCCTCCCTGGAGCCCTCCTCGCGCCACCCGCCCCAGCTTACCTGCCGTTTCTTGTTTCCAGGCTTCCCGCGCAAATATCTGATTCGCGGGAAGCAGGGGAGGGGGAGGAGAAGGGGGCGGAGCGTTCAGGGGAGGAGAGTTGGGGGCGGGGCGGACAGCTGGCGCGGGGCCCGATTCAGTGGAATCGGTGGAATCGGCCTAAGGCCGACCCTGCCTACAGACTGCTACTGATCGTTGCTAACCAGTGCGGAGTGGGAAAGCCAACTGTTGGACTCATGTTGATGGAAGTGTGCAGGGCCATTAATCGCATCCCGCTCTGAAAGACTGTAACTCTGGGCAACATGCGTGACATTGTAGATGGCTTTGCACAAATGGGCTTCCCTAACTGTGGAGGGGTGATAGATGGGACGCATATTCCAATTCTGGCACCAGACCACCTAGCCACTGAGTACATGAATTGGAAGGGGTATTTCTCAATGGTTCTCCAGGCGCTTGTGGATCACTGTGGGCATTTCACAGACATTAACGCAGGCTGGTCTGGAAAGGTGCATGACGCACACATCTTTCAGAACACTGGCCTGTTCAGAAAGCTCCAAGCAGAGACTTTCTTCCCGGACCAGAAGATCACTGTAGGGGAAGTCGAAATGCCCATTGTGATCCTGGGAGACCCTGCCTACCCCTTAATGCCGTGGCTTATGAAGCCATACATGGGGCAACTTGACAGTAGCAAGGAGCAGTTCAACAATAGGCTGAGCAAGTGCAGAATGGCTGTTGAGTGTGCTTTTGGCCGTTTAAAGGCCCGCTGGTGGTGCCTATATGGGAGGCTGGACCAGGCCAATGACAATATTCCTATGCTTATAGCCACGTGCTGTCACTCCATAATATTTGTGAAGGGAAGGGTGAAAGCTTCACTCAGGGCTGGACCGCTGAGGCTCAGCGCCTGGAGGCTGAATTTGAACAGCCAGAGACCAGGGCTATTAGAGGGGCGCAGCGTGGGGCCATAAGGATCAGGGATGCCTTGAGGCAGCAATTTGAAGCTGAAAGCCACTAATGTTTGTTGCTATGCTCAGGAGTGCAGTGCTTGTAATGCTAGGAGGTGATTGTGATTGGTGCAGACAATGCACTATGAAGGTGTAAGAAAATTGCCTGTTGCTTTGCAGGGCTCTGTTTGCTTTCAATTAATGGAATAAAGATTGCTTTCAAACCAAAACAACCGGAGGAAAGAAATAAACAAAAAACCACATCAGCACTGAGGGGGGATGGGGGAAGGGAGGAGGTGGGGTCCCAGGACGATTAAAGATTTGTGTATGTCCAGGGATCATATCCAACCTGGTCCTTTGGAGTACAGTGCAGCGGGTACTGTACTTCAGCAGGGCTAAACTGCAGAGGGACGGATGTTGAGTGCAGTGGGTACTGGGAGTCTGCATTGCTGGACTGAGATGGGGCAGGAGTGGAATGCAGCGGATACAGGCTGGAGCCAGGTGGTTGATAAGAGTGTTTTGGCGGTGTCTGGGGGGCGCATGGGAAAGAGTTTTGTGACAGCAGCTACAGGGGAGGGTGGGTGGGCTCGGAGCTGCTCGGTTTGCAGTGCTAATAGCATCTGGAGAGTATCCGCTTAGCGCTCCATAACGTTTAAGAGCTGCTCCATGGCTTCGTTCTGGCGCGCTGTGTTCTCTGTTCGGTCCCTCTTCTCGCTGTCCCGCCACTCCTTCAATTCTTGTTTTTCGGCTGCGGAGTGTGTCATGATCTCACGCAGAAAGTCCTCTTTAGTTCTTCGTGGCTGCTTTCTAATTCCGCACAGCCGTTCAGCCTAGGGTGACCAGACAGCAAGTGTGAAAAATCGGGACGGGGGTGTGGGGGTAATAGGAGCCTATATAAGAAAAATACCCCAAAATTGGGACTGTCCCTATAAAATCGGGACATCTGGTCACCCTAGTTCAGCCAGCGATAACAAAGAGGGAGGCTGGGCTCCCAAGGTCATATCTGTGAAGCCAAAATGCAACATTTTACAAAAGCAGTATTGTTTTGCAACACTCAGACCACTGACTTAAAACACAGCCACTATTCACATACCTGTCACTAACTGGCTGACCCCAGGCAAGCACAAATGAGCCACAAGACCCCCAAAATGGTGAGTAACTGCAGGGGAAATCAGCGTTCCAGGGCCATACTATACACTGGGCACATGGCTCTTGGGGAGAGCCAACACTGTAGTGGGGGCTTTATAATCATTCCTGTCCCCACATTTTCCACAGGCTGTGTTCATTATGGATGATATCGCGCTGCTGAGGGTGAGCAGGGAATCAAGTGAAGGTCTTCTCCATGACTGCAGCTTCCACAACAGCCCTTATGCAGCTCGCCTGTGTGCAGCAATGTTTCCACCCCCTCCTCACAGTAGTGGCAGAGTGGTGCAAGAAAGTTACCGTTAATGGGGCAAGAAACAAAGCAGCTCTGCCAAAGAACCTGCGGCAGCGGATTGCCCAGTATTGAGGGAGTCGATCAACACCCTGTTCCGCTGCTCAGACTAGGCATGTGGTGGTACGGGCATCATAGAGACACAAGCCAGCTTTCTGCAACCCTTGTGCCCCCAACAACTCACTTCGTCGATTCCCAAAATCAAAGCCACTTACCAGGGGCCTCCTCTCCTGTTTGCACTTCACTAAGATCTGACAGCTGTGACTGGCTAGCCTCCTCTGGTGTAGAGAAGAGCTCCTGGCTGCATGCATTTCTGACCTCCGAGTCGTCCTCTGCCTCTGGGTCCCCCTCCACATCCTTGTCCAAGATTTCCTCCTCCTGGCTCGGTCCACTCTCAACTGGCAAGCGAGCCATTGAAGTATCTACAGTGGCCTTCGCAGTGAAGGTGAGGTTGCCACCGAGTATTGCGACGACCAGCTCTTTGTAGAATGAGCAGCTTGTGGGTGCAGCACCGGAGCGGTAGTTTGCCTCCCGCACCTTGTGGTAGACGTTCCGCAGCTCCTTCACTTTGACCCTGCACTGAAGTCACAGTCATAGCCCCTTTCTGTCATGCATCGTGAAATCTGTCTGAAGGTATCATAATTCCTATGACTGGAGCGCAGCTTGGACTGGACAGCCTCCTCTCCCCAAATGCTGATGAGGTCCAGCAGCTCGGCATTGCTCCAAGTGGGGGATCACATGGTGCATGGAGCAGGCATGGCCACCTGGAAAGATGCGCTGAGACCACTGCACAAGTCACCGAGCAAACACGAAGGGGACTTTCAAAATTCCCAAGGAATTTACGGGGTGAGGATGACGGTTGGTCACCTGAGGACAGGGCAGTAGAGTTCAAACCAGTGACTAGAGAGGCAAGAACAGGCATTGTGGGAAACCTCCCAGAGGCCAATCACAGTGCTGTAATCGACCAGGGTTTCTACACCAGCACTGCGGAGCTGTACCCCTGGTGCAGAAAGCTGTACGCCTCTCGTCAGGGTAGTTTTTTTACAGCGCTGCAACTGCGCAGTTTCTGCGCACTAAGTGGCTTGGCGGTGTCGGTGTGTACACCTCTGGAGTTACAATACAGAAAGCTGCTTTACTGTGCGGAAACCTGCCTGTGTAGACAAGGCCTTAGTAACATTATAAGGACCTAACCCCCTCTGTAGATGGCGCAGTCGGCAATCCAGCTGACGTAATTACTAGGAAGTGAATTAACTAATCTCACCCGTGAACTCTCTTCCCCGGGTTTAGAGCTTCTTCATTAAAGTGCTACCTCTATGCAGTGTTTTAAGTGTAGACATGCCCTCCATTAAGTATGTTTGTTTGTTTGGAAATGGTGTGTGTAAGCTAGCAAAGGGCCAATGATACAGCATCCAGAGAAGTATCCCTAGATGCAAGTTAGCTAGTTGGAGCGCATCATGCTTTAGATGCCGCTGTCTCTGTAATGGCAGGAAGGAAGGAATGATGGAGCCCAGGACTGTGGTAGCTCCGTGAGGAGACGTGGCCACTGGAATGGGGTGGTTGGGAGGAGTGGGGGACATGGGTGGCTGGTAGGGTGACCAGATGTCCCGATTTTATAGGGACAGTCCCGATTTTGGGGTCTTTTTCTTATATAGGCTCCTATTACCCCCCACCCCATCCCGATTTTTAACACTTGCTGTCTGGTCACCCTAGTGGCTGGGCAGGATCTAGTCACTACACAGCGCCCACCTGCCAGCAGTGCATGATGCCGCGTGGCTGTGTCTGTCATGGCTGGGTCTCACCAGTCCTGCCTTTCGGGGGAGAAGGGTGTTTGCAGCACGCGCATATTTCAGGGGGCGGTGGGACCGTGCGTGCGGGAGACTCGAGGCTGGCCAGGACAATGGGCCTGGCACGGGGACAGTCAGGAGGTGGCCGCTGGTAGTGGCAGATCACAGCGGGGCGGGCCGCTGAAAGTGGGGTCGGGGCCCGGCTGTTGGATTCGAGCGGCCCCGAAGGAGCCGGTGCCGGGGGAGAGGAGAGGGCTGCGCCCCCGAGAGGAGCCCAGCGGAGGGGCGGGGCTGGGGGGGGGCGGGCGAGTCTCTGCGTTAGTCTCCCATGTGGGAGCGCGGCTGGTTTCTACAGGGGGAGGGGGAGCTGCAGCCGCCACGGGGACGCTCCAGCAGGTTGCCGGCAGGTTCGCAGCCGGGCGCACGCGCGGCGCACACCCCCAGGCGGCCGCGCTGCCATTGGCCAGCCGGGGTGGGGCCCGGGGGTGCGTCCCGGGGCGGGGCTCCGCCCGCGTGGGGGGGCGGGGAGCCGGCTTCTGGCTCCGGCGCGGGTGGCCAGGGAGGTAGCGGCGATCGCGCGCGGGTTAAAAGGGGCAGCGCGGCGGCCGCGCGAGCAGCGAGCGGTTCTGCATCATGTCTCTGCGCAGCAGCTTCGCCCGGCTCCTGCGGAAGCAGGCGGGCTCCGCGCTGCAACTCCAGAAACCTGCCCACTCCGTGGCGCTCATCGGAGCCCCGTTCTCCAGGGGGCAGGTGAGCATCGCGGGGGGAGCAGGCGCCCCCTGCCCCCCGAAGGGTGGGGGTGAGTGTATCCCGCCCCCAGGCATCACAAAGGGATCGGCACCCCCGAGAGACGCTCTGCGGCCGCGGGAGGGGGAACCTGCCGCCCGGCCGGCAGCGATGGCGGGTCCCGGGTGTGGTGAGGGTCGTGCTCGGCTGGTCGCAGTAGCCGCATTGTCTCGCTGTCCCAGCGGGTTTCCCCGGGGTGGCCCAGGCTGCGGGGTACATTCTCGCCACGCTCCTGTGCCACCGGAGACACGCCGCAGCTCCCACGTGAAGCGCCCTCGGGGAGCGGACCCCGCGGCGCACTGATGGCCGGGCGGGAAGGAAAATACCCTCCCCAGGTCGATTCGCGGCTCCGTGTGACTTCTGCGGCTCAGTCCGTTTCTGGGAGCACCAATCCGCGCCCCGCAGTGGATCCTAACGGAGCCCCTTTGTCTTACAGAAGAGAAGAGGGGTGGACCACGGCCCCGCTGCCATAAGGAACGCGGGGCTGACGGAGCGGCTCTCCGGCTTGGGTAAGGGGCGGGCCACGTGCAGTAGCAGCGGCTGGGTGGAAAAGTGGCCCGTCACTGACATGACTGCGGGGTATTGCATGTCCCTACATCCCCGTTGCCTTAGCGTGACTCACTTAGCTGAAACCTGAATCAGCCCCACACGCAGAGCTCTCTGCTGGAAGTGGTGGGCACCTCCCTGTCTAGAAAATGTCTCTGCCTTGTCCCTGTGAAGTAAGATGAATCACAAAACCCAGTATCTGTACTGGGCCAGCAGCAGAGATGCTGAGGATTGAATGGGCCATAGAGACTTGAAAGTAGCCTATATACTCCTGTTAAAAATGTTTCTGTGGCTCAGAACTAATTTGCACAAAACAGACCTCATTTGTATGTATGTGGATATTGGGCAGTTAAATTTGCATGTGTGTAAGGGAGGCTTTGGTCTACAGAAACTTGGGTGTGCCAGACCCAACACTCAGATTTTTAGGTGTGGAAATTTGAGAATACCATTCAGACAATACTTCTGAGAATGTCAGCAGCAAGGGCAAATGGCTTAATTAATTTACTGCACTCCTTCAAATAATCAACTACTTAGCTCAGCCCCTTAATAATAATACCCGAGCCCTGTCCCAAAAGGAGTCCAGAATTGTCTGACGAAAACCTCAGGTTTTTGTCTCCAGTCTTTCATCTAATTCTAGTCTTGCATTGAGAGGATATAGGAATAGTGCTATCTCAACAGAAAGAAAATGTGATCTTGCCTTGTTTGTTAGTAGGGCTGGGTGTAAGCAAAAGCAAATGTTTGGTCTTGTGTAGTCTCAACAATTTATAGCCCATTCCCTCCTAGCTTCAGAACCAGAGAAAACAAGTATCCTTACTTTTTTTGTCAATGGCTGAATAAGAGGGTCAGGCAACTTGCAAGCCAAATAGTAGACATGATTCATGTTTGTGGTCTCAGTAGCGAGGCTTGGCAGAATGTGATTTTTATTTTTATTATAATTTTGATGGATAGTATCAATGTTTGTTGATTTTACATTTTTCACTGTTGTGCAAAATTATGGGTTTTAAACTCTGGGCTCCTCTCGGGCTTTTAAAATTTTTTTTATTTAAACTTTAACATTTGTGGGAAATTATGGGGAGGATCAGACAATTAATGACAGTAGACACGGATTCAAAATGCTAAAGCTTTATTAACTGCTAAAACAATTTGTCAACATCACATGTCAAAATGTAGGAAGTAAATATCTTTAAATCAAACTCAAAGTACTTTGCAAGCAGCACTTTTCTTATTTTGTGTGTTTGTAAATTTCTATTATGGATGGATGGAAATTTTTTTTTGTCAGTTTGTGTGTGTATGGTGAAATTATGCAGTGTTGTAGCTGTGGTGATCCCAGGATATTAGACAAGGTGGGTGAAGTAATCTTTTATTGGACCAATTTCTGTTGGTGAGAGAGACAAGCTTTCCAGCTTACACAGAGCTCTCCTTCAGCTCTGGTAAAAGTACTCAGAAATGTTACAGCTAAATAGGAGGTGAAACAGATTGTTTAGCATAAGTATTGAACACATTTCAAGGGACACCCTCCAGTCAGAGGGGGCCGGGCTCAGATTCTGGAGCTGAGTGTCGCTCCCTCCCCACCCTTCATGGGGGCTGGCCAGGGCTCCCACGGTGCCCCTCAAAATGTTCCTCCATGCCCCCCCAAGGGGGGTGCACTCCACAGATAAGGGACCTCTGATCTATAGTCTATAAAGCTGGCTGTGTTCCTTGGGACTGTGTGCACGCGGAATGGACCGCAGGGTTAGACCTTAAAGGGTTAATTCATGATGCCTGCATGTAAATCCTATTAATACTAATTGCATATAAGTGTATGCACGGAG